TTTTCTTTTTCATTTTTAGTGTTGTGAGGTTTCATGATAATCTTTATCTAAATTTTTAAAAAATCTTTCTTTGTACTGATTTGTAATTCCTTAATCTGGATATTTGTGTCTTTCATCAGTTCAGGAATATATTCAACCATTTTCTCTTTAGGTTTTGCCACTGCCAGTTTCTTTTGTCTCTCTTTATAGAACTTATATTAGATGTAGAATTTAATTTTTTCCTTTGTGTCTCTTCATCACATTTTCTATCTTTTGTTAATTCAGTGTGCTGATTTTGGAAATGCCATCTATTCTGCATTTTAACCTTTCTACTAAATTTTAAATTCAATTACTTAAAAAGATTATTTCTAAAAGCTCTATTTAATGTTTCAGGGACTATTTATGGTCTTCTAAGAATATTGTGCTTTGTCCTGTTCTCATGTGTTTGAAACATCCTTTTAATTTTTCTGACTACTTAAAAAATGCTTTCTTTATAGTTCACCAGATAGTTTTATGGCCTGATTTTCTTTGTGGCCTTATTCAGTTATATATTCTCTGGCTGATTCTTTTAGTGTGGATTGTTTCTTTTGATGTTTTTAAATTTGTGTCAAAGTTTAAACTCTGCAGGACTTTATGGAAATTCTGTGTTCCTGGGATGAAAATGTATACATTAAAAACAGTTTTTTGTTGTTTTTACCTGGTAGCCCAGGGATGTCTGCTGTAACTAAATTTGTTTTGAACTCTTGACCTGGTTCTTAAAATCAAGCTAGTAGTATAAATTCAAGTCCAAACTCTGGCCCATCTTTAAAAGTTATTTTTCCTCCCCAAAGCCAGGAATAGATAGGCATGCTTCTTTGTCATCTCCTATTGCTGATGGATTTCTTTCTTTTTAGACCATAGTTCCATGAATACTGTATCATTGTGAGAATCCTAGACATATAAAGCCATCTCATTTCAAACATTCTGCCTCATGCAGATTCAAGGCCTCATTTGCCATCCTTGCATTTATATTAAAATGTAAGGTTTTTGATACCAAGACCAATAAAATAACCTGCCTTCTGCATCTCTGTTTTTTTGGCATCTGTGGATTTCTTTTTTATTTATTTATTATTACTTCATGTAAATAATGTTCTCATGGATTCTAGGAGTTTGCAGAAGGTTATCCAAGGCAGGTTATTTCAAGCCCACACACACAGAGAAAATAATTCATGCACATAGAGATGATATTTATGCAGAATATTGTGGTACCTGGGGGAACATTTGGAGGATGACCATGTGAAGCTTGGTGAAAAACCCAATGCATAATTTAAATATTAAACAATTGTGTAGAGGATACCAATGCTGGATTTACTTTTTAAATTTTCAAATTTTTAATTGAAACCCTCCAGTTTGTGTCTGTGGACATACCATTTTTTGAGGTTTTTATTTCTGAAATGAATACCTGTAATTCCTGAAGAAGACTTTTCAGTGATGACCTCTTTAAGATATTAATAGTCACCATCAGTGAGAAACTGCTCACAATAAAGTGATGAACAGTTCCAAACTTTTCAAATACTTAGTTCATATGAAATTGTATTTAAAGAATCTAACACAGCTCTCCCTTTCCTTTCAGTCATAATTGCAATGTTGAAATTTCTTGTGAAAATCAAAGGTCTTTCAAATATAATCAAACTCTTAGTGAAATATGTTAAGATAATGAAATATTTAAAAAATAATCCTGACCTCATTTGCAGAATGTGCATGGCTATTTAGAATAGTCCCTGAGACTAGCGTGGACAACATGAAATGGGAAATTTACTAATGATTGAACAAAAGCACTGGCTCTATAGGAAGACATATATGTGATGCCATTGCCATACACAGCATGCAGGTCCCTTACTGTACCCCCAGCCAATTGGACTACTCCTTGGCTTACACCTGGAAAGGACCTTGCCCTCCTCCCTAGCACCATGAGCCCCTAGGTCAGGATGGGCAGTGCTCCAGGCTTCACACATAGCTGCCTTGAGAAGCTAGAACCCATTCTCAGCCTGCCAATGTGCTGCCGATCACTATTTGCAAATCCTGTCTAGAGCACCATACTGCTGAAACAAGAAACCTGGGTTAAAAAATTTAAATCTAAATAATAAAGAAGAAGAAATAAAGGAAGAAAGGCAGGAAAAACTTGTAATAAATCCTGTTTTATTAGAGATAAGAAAAAAGGCTCACTAAAAATTGAATACCTATTCTGAGCTACGTGTACTGTGTGAGGTGATTTACTTCTATAATCTCACAGATTCTTACAAGTTTGTTAGATGTAAACAATTAATATAAAAAAAAGAATTGCCCAAGCTCACTGAATTAGTGGGGAATGGGGTTTCAGTCCAGTATATGTCTAAAACACCCATGATCTTATTCTCTTGAGTCAACAGAATTGGTTCAAATTCTTATTTTGTGATCTTAATTTACTTAATCTTAGTATCAGTAGCCTCATCCATAAATCAGAGGTAATAAAAAGTCCCTGTCTAAAAAGTTCATTATCCTCAAAACAAATGAGATAATATATCATATATCAGAGTATCTGATTGGGAGTGAGGCCCAAGCATCAATAGTTTATAAAAGCTCTCCAGGTGATTCTAATATACAAGCAGGTGATTCTAATACACAAAACACTGAGACATGAACAAGTGCTTAACTCAGAATTTGATGCATAGAAAGTGTTCAGAAGTTGTTAGCTATTATTATAGTTGTTATTACCATAACCTCTTTGGATTCCATTTCTTGTAATTTGCATAAATAATGGATAATTAAATGTAAAATATAAAAAGACAAGATTTCCTGTACTGCCTACTTCCAAATACCTTTGATTCTCACAACTATGGGTCACCTTGCTAAATAAGCTCAAAAACATTAAAAAAAAAAACATCAGTCGGGAATGGCAAGATATGGTGTTCTTGTTGTATGTAGTGTCATAGAGAAAGTATAAACTTTATAGTCAGAACAGCAAAGATTTAAGTCCTAGCTCTAACAGTTAATAGTTCTGAGATTTTTTGGGGGCCAAACCAGTTAGCCTTTATTAGCTTCAATTTCCTCATATCCAATATTGGGCTAAAATAAACAGCTTTCATTTATGGATGGAGTGGTTAAATAATACAGCATTTTTAAAACATCTGGAAAAATTTCCTGGCATATAGTAGGATTTTAATAATCAATAAATGTTTCACTGTCATTTTTCTTTATTCTAGCTTCACATATGTACATACTACTACCCATACATTTAGCATTAATGGAGACCCTGAAAGTGTAGTATGACTTCCAGGTTCACTGCAAATGGATGTGACACCTAGAATCTCAGAAGTAAAAAGGGGATTAAGCCCTGTGAGGCTCAAAGGCCATTTGTCCCCTTGATATTGATTTTCCTAAATCAGACAGTAGCCAAGACCCGGGAGAAGTAATTGAACTGACAACAGGCAGGTCCAGGTTATTAATAATGGATCAGCTTTGGAGATTCTTGATGACTTAATTTAATGACAGAAGCGGGGTCTGAAACTGAAATGCCTGAAGATGGGGTCAGTGGCTGGGTCTCTGAGAAGAAAGAAAACAAGTCCTTCATAAGAGCTTATTTCAAAGAACAAAGCTGTAGTCCCAAATATGAGGCCAGCGGAAATAGGCTGGATTTTCTTTTTTTAAGAAAAAAATTTTTAAGCTTAAAACACTACCATTATATTTATTTTTGACCTAACTATGGGAAACAGATTTGGTTAGATTTATGGAATTTTGGAACGTTAGTGAGTAACTCAAAGGTAGAGATTATGGACTCTTACTTACCTTTTTTATCTCCTGGATTCAAATATCAACTTTCCATCTATTCCTGACTTTGGACAAGTTAGTTAAACTCTTTGAGCCTCAATTAATACATCTTTAAAATGGAGATGTTGTTATCTTTGTATTACAGTTATAGGAGAATATTAAGACATTTAAAAAAGTGTATAATATTCCTGGCACTTAATATTATATAATACCTCATACACTAAATATTTGTTTAATAAAATAATATGTGAATTTTGATGCTTCACTCTCTTTCACTACCTCTGGATAGAGAAGTTAGCCTCCAGGGACTTCTTGACAGGTTTTCCTTTTTGTGGACCGTTGTGGCTGTCCTCCTCCCGGTGCTCATCCTCTCTCCTTGGGCCTGTTTCAGTGGTCACTGAGTTCCTTTTAACCCCAGTTCTCTGCTCTTTCCCAGTCTCTTCTGTTCACTTATTACAAAATTGTTTACTAAAACAAAGGCTGTATTATCCTCTCGAAAAAGCGTTAGTAATCTAGAACACCCCACTCGCCCATTTTAAAGGTAGGACCCAGAGGGAGGAAGGGATGAACACAAAGTCCTGCCCCTATAAGTTGATGCTGAGTTTAGGGTGAGCCCAGTACCCCTGATTCCTAGCAGAGAATAACAAGAAGGATGCAGAAGAGGACATATATCCTCTAGGTCTAGTCAAAGAGATGCCGAGCAGTTGCAGAATTTTTTCACATCAGTTTTCACTCAGTTACTATGTTTAGTTTTGCTGAACTTCAAACTCACTGCTGTTACTCTAATGATAATATTATTCATTTCCATGCATATTCTAGATCAACCTGAAGAAAAGGTAGAATTAATAATGATAGCTAAAACTTATATAGCATACACTATATACCAAGTATGGTTCCAAATACGGTTAATATGTTAATTTATTTAATACTCAACAATAACCTAGGTACTATTATTATTCCCATTTTTCAGATAAGGAAACTGAGGCACAGGAAGGTTTAGTGGCTTGGCGAGGTCACACAGCTTGAGAATCATTCACTGGGGGAGTCTGTGCTATTAACAACTATGCTAAGCTAGTGCAAATGCAGAATTTCTGTGGGCACCATGTATCCTCACTATGCTATTGGTAGCTAGTCCATATGGCTTCCTTTAGTTCCGTTTATTGTTTCCAGTCCTGATTATCAGGAAGTGGCAATTTAATAATCTCTTGATAAACTTCTCCCTCTTTGTTTTACAGAGAGTCATTTTCAACATTGTTAACTTCAGCAAAACCAAGAGCCTTTATAGAGATGGGATGGCCCCTGTGGTGAAATCCACCAGCAGACCAAAATGGTAAGTGACCCACAGAATGGGATCTCCTGGTTGGAGAATCTGACCCAGGGTTCAGATTTATCTGCTGTATGGCTAGGGCTTAGCTTCACTGGCATTAACAGGAGTAAGATGACTTTCTGGATGGCCATTGCCTATGCCTTAGGTATACTGCTCATTGAAAATGTTGGATAGGGAGCATTGTCCCACATTTGAAGTGGCCAGCATTCTGTCAAGAGGGAAGGTACATCTGCTTAGCTGTTAAACTTCCCGTCCTGTTTGCCTTTCATCATGATATCTGCAGAAGCCTAATTTAAATTACTACTATTATTTTTTTGTAGCCTGAGCATAGATGCTGTGCGGTAACCTAGTAAGACATTGGGAGCTATAGTTTTGTAGATTTCCTTTGCTCGGCTTGGCTTTTGTTGTGTTTTTATATAGATATTATCTGTTCCTGTGGATGAAAGTTCTGTTTGCCCCATCAATATAGTGAGGGTGAGGAGAGTTTAATATGATTGCCTAATAATAGTAAAAATTATGATCATCATAATGGTGATAATAACTACTCTCACCTGCTGAGACCCATTCTTTGTCATATATTTTATATTAGTTGTTGCTATTATCATAACAATTTGCAAGGGAGATTTTAAATATCCTTATGTTATAGATAAAGAATGTTAAATTAAATGATTTTCTCAAGACCACAGATAGTAAGGAGTGGGGGACAGTGCTATTTTGATTACGCCACACTGCCATTCAAGCCAATTAATTTTCTCATCCATCTATTCATTTATTCAGTCGACAAACACTGATTGAATGCACCAAAATGAAAGTTTTAAAGATAGAACCAAGTGTTATTCATTTATCACACAGTAGGTGTTAAGTGAATGCTTGTTGAACTGAACTGAATTTGTTATAAGAATTTACATGTAAAATGCCTGCACTTGCTAAGTGCTCAATAAATGTCATCTGTTATTAATAGTATGTAAAACACTATACAAATGAAAGGAATTGTTAATATTATTCCAGCTTTGATACCTGTTCAAATTTTAATAACTTGTGAGAAGATTCTTTCCAAATGTCTGTATTTATAGAAAACTAGCAATTCATAAATACTGAATTGTGCTTTTATCTACACATGATACTTGATGATTTTCCATAAATGCTGGGCTGAGGAGCACAGGTTTGTATAAGTGTAAGCATTTGTTAATGATAATGAAAACTGTTTATTAAAAGATAAAAATATCTTCCTGGGCCTGTTTTTTTTTTGCTCTCCTGTATCAAGTCAACTATACTGCTGTTCCTTGATCTCCTTTTGACAGTGGGATCTGGGACAAGGGATAATTCCTTGCTTTGAGTCTCTCAGCTCAGCTCAGTGGATAATAATAGAGCACATCTCTCTGTTAACAGGTGTATCTGTAGAAACGTACTTCAAACCTTGCAAACAAAAGGATGTGACTGTTGATCTGATCATGAGGACCTTCCAAATAGCATCGTATTTCTTTTACCAGGCTCTGTGTTGGGATGTGACACAGCAGCCATCATTACCATCTCTTTTTCCCAACTGCTAAGTTCTGGAGTCTTCACTTTTTTGTGTGCTTTTGAAAATCCTTAAGCCTAATTATTTCATTTTGTTTTGTTTCTCATGCATTATCATTTGGGTCTTCTCTGTCTGGGCTCTTGACAAGATTTTGAAATATTAATGAGTCCTTTAATTTATATTATAATGCCTTAGAATTAAGTTCCTTCCCCTATTGACAGGTTCTTAGCAGCAGCTATGAACAGTCATTGGGCTTCTGTAATGGTCTGAAAAGAGTTTAAAGTTTCAAAACTGAGTTTGTTGTAGTTCATCAAGGCAATAAGGCACAGTGTACCTGAATAAATCAAGTTGTCGGTATTTTTTTCTTTGCTGTCCCCAGACTTTGGATGCAAACCTACTCACATTCCTTTATAGTCCCCTTTCCTCAAGCCAGATGTTTAGGTATTTGTTGACTTAACCGGACTTTATTGAGCATCTTAATGTACCATGCACTATTCTAGATATTGGAGATATAGTATGAATATGACAGAAAAGATCTGTTCCCAAAGGGAACTTTCATTTTACAATTTTATTAACTAATCTATACAGGCCATAGTTGAGTTGTTATTCTCCTTGGTATTGGCTGCTTCTGAGGCTTCTTCCTGCCCCCCTTGGTACATTCTGCCTAGGATTTTCTTCCATTCCTTTGTAGATTACCTGTACCAATACCTATCTTCCAGCATCATAGTCCTAAATGTTTACAGAGGTGTATGTAACTGGCTCTCAGAATATTACATTTTACTGGTCCTGAGAAGTCTATCACAATTTAGGATTCTAGACAATAGCCTGACGTAGCTGAAAAATACCTTACAAATCCCAGGATTAGAATATCTCTTTTGGTGTCCTCCTAATTTGAGCTTCCCTAATACCAAGTCAACCAAAATAAAAGAAGTTTCTGATACTTTTCTTGTCTAGGAGCTTTACCTCCCCAATATTTCAAGTAAGCCTTGGAAAAAGTCTTACCTCCTGTCAAATATTTAAAAATCCTAAATTTCCTGGATGAAATATGTACCAAGTTGGTTAATAAACTTTCTTCACCTTTTCAAGGTGAAAAAGGCACTTTTCTTCACCTCTGTTACAGGGAGTGCACCTGATGCCAAGCAAAGATGCCTTCAGGCCTTAGCCTGGGTCTGGTAATCAATTAGCTGTGGGAAGTAAATGAGCAAAGGAAGCAACTTAGAAGCCATTACATAAATATATGGCCACTCAAGGCTGTTCTGCCTTGAGGAGGTAAAGTCAGACTGTCTAACAACAAAATGGAGCAGTTGAAATATTCAGTTTTCTGCCTATTTTAGTTCACCCTAATTCTGTTTCTGTATTCACCTTCAGAAGGATTTTTGGTTGTTAGGCCTCCAGTTTCTGCAACCATCACTCATTAATATTTTTACTGCTGTCCAAGGATGAAATCACTATATGCTAGGCACTGCAGGCAGCTGGCCTTATGAGACAGCCAGTATCTGTATCCTCACCTATGCAGAAACCGAGCTTAGGATATTGGCACAACTGATAAGTAGCAGCATTAGTCAGAAGCCTCAGGACCCCCTGATCACTGGCCCTCCCATATTCCTTGCATGGGGAAGATGAGATGGGGGAGCACAGAGAAGCAGGGAGTAGCGTTTGAAATAACTTCTCTGTTACTTGTGGCCTGTGGTGGATCTGAAATAACTTTTTTGACTTGTCCCATGGCAGCAAATGGAGGACATTGGACGAAATCTTTTAGGTGACTTCCATGTAACACAATTTTATTGAGCATCTAACTTTATGTTAGGTTTTGGGGTGATAATATGAATCTGATCTGGATCATATCTTTAAAATTTTATTTTTTAGAGGTTGAAATGAAACCCAAATATAAGTAGGTACAATCTAAGAGGCACTGTGCTAAGAACCATTAGGGAGTTCCGTGAAGTGTGTGTGGGAGCAGAGAAAAGGAAAAAATGATACTGGTAGGGCCTTGGGGGGAAAAGGAGAAGCTTTTTGGGCAGGTGGTATTTCAGCTGTATCGCAAGTATATGGGACATGAGCAGAAGCAGGAGGAGAATGGCCTTCCACATGCGAGAGGGAACATGGCGAGCCTGGTGCCTCCTCTACGGACCTCGACTTCCTCACTGTAAAGAGTGCATGATAATACTTGGGATCACAAGAAATCAATGTCGAATGTGAAAGTCGTGTATCTTATTAATTCAGTACATTTTCTGACCATTTCTTTTCCCCCTGCTCACTCAAGATGGAGTGGAATAGCATCATTTCTTCTCTTCTTCCTTCTTTCTTTCTTTCTTCCTTCCTTCCTTCCTTTCCTTCTTTCCTTCCTTCTTTCCTTCTTTCTTCCCTCCCTTCCCTCCCTCCTTCCTTCCTTCTTTCCTTCCTTCCTCTTTTCCTCCTGCCTGTCAATAAATCTTTACTGAGTAGTTACAGTGGACCAGAGATTATGCAAAGTTTTAGAGCAAAACAGTGAGAGATATGATTACTTTTTTCATAGAGTTCATAGTCTATTGCGCTAGACACTAAATATGTACCTTTAGGAAAGTGTGATAACTATTACACAGGGGGAATTCAGCATGCTGTGGAAACTATTCAGCTTGCAAGACCTAGTCGGCTCCAAGGGTAAGAGCCCTTTCTTAGGCGTGTTATTTATGCTGAGAGCTGAAAGAGGAATAGGAATTAGATCATATCAGGTGCGAATATGTGTGAAGTAACAGAATACGTCTGTAGGACAAGAAGATGGGGGAACATTACAGCTTTGATAAGCAAAGGCCAGTGTGATTGGAACATGAAATTCTAAGGAGAAGGGGAGTGGAGAGGTGGGTAGGAGTGAAACCAAGGTAAGCCTTGTAAGCCAAGCTAAGGAGTTGGATAATTCTGAGAACAATGTGAAAAAACTGAAGGTATTAAGCAGTAACAGGACATAATCACATTGGCACTTTAGAAAGATCAGTCTTGTTGAATAGAGAGTATCATGGGGAAGAAGGACTGGCTTTTTGCATTGCCTGAGGCTAGAGCTGATGATGAATTAGGGTGCTTACAGTAGTGATGAAAACAAGTGGATGGATTTGAGGATTAACAAGATTGAATCAACTTAATTTTGTGATTGATGAGATGTGGAGGGTAAAAGAAAGGAAGGCATTCTGGGATATTTCCAGGTTTTCTGTCACAGGCCAAAGAAGGGATGGTGGTGCCTTTCGCTGAAGATATGGACAGCCTGGAAGTGTCACTGGGCACAGACAAGAGCCAAGTCTTCCCAAAGCCTGTTCTTACTAAGCAAATAGCCAGGAAAAGGAGCAGCCTGGTAAGATAGAAAACTTTGATACAATAATTGCCTACTCTAGCCAAACACTTTGCTATAAAGTTGCCCACTTCTACCCTCGCTACCAAAGGAGTGGGGAGCCTAGACTTCCATCTTTGCCTCAACCTCCCATAAAGAGGTGTTAAAGAATAATAAAGAATAGGG